ACCGAATCAACCAACCAACATATTTGACTACCCCTTCGGGCAATCGATCACATATCCCTCAGTGTTTTCCAATCCGGAATTGAAGGTCACTACAATTGCAACAATGGTCCATCATTTCCATCAAAATAGCGAGTTGTAGTTCAGGAAGGTGCACACGATCGATGCTACGCAGATCGCTAGGGAGGGTAGCAGAGTGACGTTGTGGAGGCTCCTAATCCCAGGTACCCTAGCACAGTGATTGTGCAGTCCGCGAACACTCCCGCAAGTGTGCCGGACTCCATCGGGAGGAGCCCACCATTTTATGTCCCAAGGGAGAGTCGTGATGACATCACGCTCACCAACAGAGAGAGGTTGATGCCCGCATTTCCTGGCAAGAAGTTTAGAAACTCTCCTCGGTGGGAGATGAGACATATACTATAAGAGAATGTTCGAAGATTTGTTACCTTCAAGAACTTTAGCAGACACTAATGTAACGAGAGATGAGGCAACATACTAGATAACAGAGTATGTGCTCATGACTTTGAAGCTAAAAATAATGCCCACCAGCAATGTAATTTGAGAACCCATCAAGAGTTGCTTGTAAAAATGGCAACAACATTGGTAAGATGCCCATTCTGAAATGTTGGCAGGGCAGCAGAAAACTATTAATACCTATAGGCTTAAAGCAACATGAAATTGTGAAGGGCTCAGACGCAAGAGAAAACAACAATTCCATTGATTCTACCTTTTCTTGTACTCCAAGAAAGTCATGTACTCTCTATATAGACGCCCATGAGATTCAGCAACAAACAACGATTCTACCGATCCATTTCTAATCCTCTTACAGGGTGCACGTGCATGCCCTGTCCTGCACACCACCGCGTGAAATCGCAACCGAGCTGACCACTTCCGCCACGCATGTTGGCCGCCTACCTCTGTACCAGCGGGTCACCACTGGCCTGTGACTTCTCAGCCAGCCGCCTCCATCCTACACAACACCATCCCTTTTGAGAGCCATTGCTAGGTAATGCCCTCGAGTAGAGATGTGTGTGGGTGTGGTGAATTTTTGCCATGAAAGGACTGAAAGAAAAGGATATAGGGGCGATTTTGGTGAGCCAATGAAATCTGACAACTCCATTTGTTGGCTAACAGAGTGTGGTTGAAATGTCACGGGAGTGGTATTTTGGCATGGGAAACCTGAACTTGGGTGCTATTCTGGCACTTTGTTTTTTGATAGTGGTACTTTGACACTTGTGGTTTTAACTAGTGGTATTTTTGCTAATCTCCTTTCAAAAGATGGAGGTCCACAGAGTTACTTCATCAAACATAATTACTGTTTTCTCAGCCACCATTTTTTTTCTATAGCTCGTGTGTTGCCATTGGAATAGTAACCCCTTCATTTTAAAACATAGTGCATATTAGATCATCTCTAGCACATTCCCTAATATTCAAATTTGAGGAGGAAAAAAAAAACCCCCACAGCCACTCACTTTTAGTCCACCCAGGAGCGTCTGAGCAAAAGTTGGCGCCGCCTCCAACTCCCACACAGCCTTCCCGCACACATGTACGTGCTTGCACATCATGTCAATTATTGTTACCCGTCTGATTGAAGTTGTGTGACATCAGCAAGCCATGCATGTACTCGTAAGCAACTTTTTTGCATCAATTTATCCATGGAAACCATGCCACTTTATCAAGTCATGTATGTCTTTTTTTGGAATAATCAAGTCATGTATGTTAGTTCCGCATAAAAAATTCATGCATGTTGCGTACAAGTTAAATATTTTTTATTATTTTTAATTGCATTATGGACGATATATGTGTTGGATGCTTGAAGGAAAAAAATTATAGGTCATGTTCCATATTTATGTGAAAAGTTGTTGGCACATTAAATTCAATTCAAAAATAAATTATTTTTTATACATTAATTTGTAGCATACGACTTATGTTGTATTGTTCCTAAAATGTAAACAACTGAGAACACTTTTACATTTTTTTCATTAGTTTTAATTTTTTTTTAGAAATTATTTATGCATTAGTTTAAACACAGTTTTTGGTAACTCGCTGGAAAATCTGCTACTAAAACAAAGTTCTACACTGGGAGCCTATTCTTCAATAGGCTGAAGTGCATCATTTCAGCGTGAAGAAAAATGTTGTTATTGATATATCACTGTGTTATTTGAATTAAAGAATCCCACCGAACTTGTATTTTCCTTCCCATACATAATAATTTAATGTAGGACATGTAACAGAAGTATATGAAACCTAGATTTTCTATTCATGTGCATTTGTTATACCTGAAAGAGATTTGGAACATTATTTTGGTTGATAATTAAGCGTGTTTAATAGTGACAAAATTTAAAACCGTAGGAAAGTTCTAAGCCATCATATCTACCTGGGTCTACATGATTTATCATTATTATGGTGATTTTGGTGAAGTTTAAGTAATATAATTGACCGAAAATTTCTTGCTCTAATTACAGTACAGATTTGACAATTTTCATATAAGGATCCGCTAGACATGCTCTTAGTTTTTAAAATGAGGCTTCTTGGGAAAGTTCCCTCCTTTCTTTCATTCTTAGGTAGGTTGGGAGAATCAAACCCAGATGGCTTGAGTGGAAAATAACGCACTGGCCATTTCGTTAGGAGGCTCTCCCCGATTCTCTTAGTTTTGAACTAAGTCAACCTTAGTTTACAGTGGTCAAGTTTATAAAAAATCAATATTCACCACTACCAAATAAGTAACTAGATCCACATAAAATATATTTTATATTGTATTTATTTGGTATTATATAGGTTGATAGTTTCTAATGTATCTGGCCAAACATTTTGGAGTTTGTATACACTTTGAAACGAAGATAACATTTCTATTTATTTATTTTTGGCTCACGGTAGACAACGAATGAGCTAGTTGCTCCCAATTAATTAAGTAATAGGCCACTGTAAGGCTTGAACATTTTGATGACAAACTGACCAACAACCCCAACGGATGGATCGTTGACACTTTATTACCACACAAACAGACGCGCATGTAGTACATGCATGGACACATAGGGCTTACAATACAGAGTAGAACGTATGAGCTAGCTGCTGGCTTCAGCGCTTGCGCTGCCACGCTGCCTGACGGACGGTGCTGTGACGTGCAAGCGGAGTCGCCAGGGTCGCAGCCGGCCTAGCAGCCCGTGCCGGAATAGGTGCAGCGGCATCTGGCCGCGCAGGGCGGAGGGGGAGTGCAAATAGCGATGCAGACCTTCCCTTTCGGGCAGGGCACACACCCGCAGCGCCCGATGCACGTTGCTAGCGCGTCCGTCGGCTGCCCCGACGCGGCCGGGGCCAGCGCGGCCGCACAGAGCGCGGCCAGGAGGACGAAGGCGGCGAACTTGAGAGCGGGAGCAGCCACCTAACATATAAAGCCTCATGGACTCGTAGGCACAACCGATGCCACCAGTACACGGTACCACGCGAGGAAAAAAAAGTCCACCGAACCGCGCCACGCGTGGGGTGCAGCGCACCACGCCAAGAGAAAAGCGACGCTCCTATGGTACCCGCTAAACCAGCGCCAGACAGAAATATCTCCCTCCTCACCCCCTTTCTCTCCCTCGTCTCTTCCCATCCCGCTCCTCTTCTCCATGCCGCCGCCACCGCCGCTGCTTCTCCTCCCTCTCGGCCGCCTGTCTCCCCCGCCTCCAACACCTCCTCCTCTCTTTGCCTCCTCACCCAACCAGCACAGCCAGACCACGCGATGTGGACGAGGAGGCAACAGATCGGACGAGGAGGCAACAGATCGGGAGGCGGGCAAGAGGAACCAGGTGGTTCTCCTTCCATGGCCGGGCCTCGACCAGCCGCATCTTCCTCCTCCCAGTCCGGCTGAGAGGAGTGGCGGATCCGCCTCCTCAAGCGAGCAGGGGCGCACGGGGATTCGATCCAGGGATCTCCTTGCGAGAGGCCGCCACCGTACCGACTCCAACCTGCAGCCTGTTCCAACTCAGGTTTGTCTTCGCTCTACTTGGTAGGCCACTGGCAGGAACATGTACGTTGATGTATTTGATGTGGCTAATTGCAATCTCTAGCCTTCCTACCATCCTCCCCTTTATCCCTCTTGATATGCGAATTAGGATTCTAGCTAGCAATGCCTCACTATGCTATGTTGCAGCAAAACAATGATATAGATTTGAAAAGTTGATAATCAAGTATTACCTTCGTTTCAACAGAAAATAAATGGTTGGTGAACAAATATATATGTACAAAAAGTCTGCACAAATAGAATCTTCGATGGAAATACGCAAAATAATAGTCCTATGCATACAAGATACAGTACTGTGTGCCATAGATATAGCCTAAAATCTAACTCTGAGTCTCTAGATAATGTGAACCCGTGCTTAATTATAAAACTTGTGAATCAAAATCACTTGAGCAAGTTTCAGATTTATAAATATACTCATGCTTTCCAATTAACGATCCCAACTAAAGCACCAAGAAATATATCATGTTGACAACTTTACTCCTTGTTTGCAGAAAGTGACAGTTATACAAGAAGAACCAGATGCCACTGAAGATGCCAACGGTAACCATGTGTCTCAGTTTGTATTATATATGGGTTCTTTATGCTTTCCTTTAAATCCTTCTTAATTTTCCCTGTGCAGTCCAAGTAAGCATCGCGAACTGCCATAAGCATCGCGAACCACTCGAGTATCTTCATTCCCTGTGTAGAACTGTTCAAGAAAAGCACCTGTAAAACCAAGTTCGTCTTTCGCTCTGCAAACCTGCTCAAAATAGTGGTCGTCCATTGAGACTTATTACTTTATTATTTGCCATGTCTCAGCAGCGTGGAGGAGCCGGCTTCCCGTGTCAGAGTTGCGTGTACTTGCGGGCTACTTCACCGTCACCAGCCCATCTGTAGGTATGCTAGCTCCTGCTCTTCTCTTCTTTGATGCAAATGCACAAAAGGAGAAGCTCAAATCTGGAGAGTAGCCAATGAGATATAGTTTTAAATTTTGTCTTTCTGCTGTAGTATTGTAGGGATGGACATATGGATTGAGTGGTACCCACCTGAAAGATACACATCTCAGCAGCCAAGAACTTCAATAAAAATGTATATCCCAACTCCTTTTATAATCTTGAGTGCTTCTCGGTCAACGTCGGTGTCACTTCCAGTCTTGGATGCTACCAGGATGCCAGGTGCAAACTTCATGGAGGCATAATGGCTCTGTACTAGCTTTTCTTGATGAATGAAAGCAGTGATGCTGATATGGACTATCTGAACAATCCACATTCAGTTTAAGTGATGTTACTTTGCTTGAAATTTTGAGATTGAACTATTAGCTTACTATCAGGTCTGCACCATTCTAGATATCATCTTGACTTTTAACTTCTCCAAATGCAACATTGGATAACATAAATAGGAAAAAAAATCAAATTGTGAAACTGTAAGTAATAGCTTCACCTGAATATTGATCTGTTGTGTTATTGCAGGGAAGAGGTATGAAATTCTCAACTTAGGAAGGAACATACAACCTGTAATGTGTCGATCACTAACTAATAAACAGGAGTCTGATGTTGGAAAGAAGCAACGGGTACCAAAGCAAAAGCATCACGACTCCCCTTACAAATCAATGAAGTGTTCTAATTCTAATTCTGGCGATCTAAGCACCGGTCCAAGGTGATTTACCTCTTCCAGCCACTTTCAGTTTGTTCCAATTCAGTCCCCTCTGAGTTTGTTTTAAAAGAAAGTTCTTGTTAGGGATTTGAGTTTATCCTTTTAATTAACGTGTGCTCGTGCTAAAGCAGCGGCTCTCCCTCGGCTATGCCTGGATGTTCGAGCTGTCAGTGTGGTACAGGAGCAGCAGCCACCATCGCTGTCAAGTAGCTCCAGCAATCACGTGCTCACTCTTGCTTCACAGACTATGTATGGTCAGTTCAGGTGATTTTTCCTCGGTGATTATTGGCACCCAGGATGTTACAATCTTATTCATGATCAGATAATTAGCTAGGAATTTTTGAATAGGATTTTAATCAGTTACTGTTTCTTTATTTTGTCCAGAAAATTGGAGGTTTTAGGATCTTTGGAAGTTTTTTGAGGCATCACCCTTCTTGTCCGCAGCTAAAAGGTGTGTGTGTGAGTCTGAGAAAAATACTTTTGCTTTACTTATGTTTCAACTTTGGCAAGGCATGTTTGTACAGGTAGTAAAAATGTGATGCAAATGTTTCTTTTACTAATTTGTGGATTTTGATAGTAGAATGTTGTTTTGGGCTGGTGCTAAGGATCATTCAGTTTCAAGGAAAAAGATATATGTGTGGTTTCTTTGCTTTACAGAAGATGCATTATATGATGTTTTCATTTTGGTAATCATAAGAAATTTTACATTTGATGGTGAATTTCAAAATTATTTTGTTTGGATTCTGAATCATGCTAGGCAATGTCGTCTTTGTAATAATTTAAAAGGGGTGCTAGGCAGAACCAAGCCATCCACGTAGGCTATGAATAGTGCAGCGAGCGAGCGAGTGAGCTGGCAGCGACTAAAAACCTAGCTTCCCCACCCACGCCCATGACAGCACGCGACCGTCCCTCCTCCTCGACCTCCCTCCTAGCTGACCCCCCTTTCTCCTCAAGAGAAAAGCCATGAGTTGTTTTACTGAGAGAGAAGAAACAAGTAATATCACATTCTGAAGGTTCATTTCCTTTTATATGGGTGATGGGTCCTTAAAATTGTAAGCATTGCAGTTTTCTAACCATGTACATGGGTGGTACGCAGCTAAGCACTCAAGCTATGATTATTGTTGTATGTATGGATTAATAGTGGTAATCACTGTTTGGTTTAGGCCTTGAGCAGCTAAGATAACTTAAATGTGTACGCTCATTCAAAGTAACTGATTTACCTAAAGAACTTGGTTGATGATCAGGTGTGCATTTTGTATGCATTGGAATTAGATTCAGAATGCATGATGATTGGTTTCTTCTGTGTTCATATAGGAAGTAGCTTCTCATGCGCCAACATTTTTTAGGTGTGTTGTGCCGAGCAAATCTTATGCTTCAGTGCGTACATTTTGGTTGTGTTTGTCTAGAGTTTTTTTTTGCTTACAGGACAAAATATTCTTATTTACTTTGATTCATCTATTTGTAGCAAAAAACTATTTCTTCGTGCATAAATATGTTGTGTTCATTATTCGGGTCAAATGAGTGAGACCGTCGTTTTTGTATTGGCTTCAAGGGAGGATGATTTGCTGTGTACGTTTCATTTTCCATCAAGGCCATCATGTCGTCCACTCATGTACATGTCATTCTCTGCTTTTAAACAAGTGTCGAGTGTAACCGCTAGCATGTGTACGAAGACAAATAATTCTCAAGGCACTGGCATGACTGGAGGAAAAGAGGTTCTGTGACTCAAGGTTGGGTCGCCATGTGTATATTTATTTATGTATTCATATCCATGCTTGTGTGGTTTTCTCTATTTTCGGTAGCCAGTCGCATGCCTTCTCCTTATTTGCTTTGTCAATGTTCGTGTGTGCCCAACTCAATTGTTGCTGCTTTTATGTATGTGCTTTCTTATGTGGTAGATAAACTCTTGCTTTAATATGTGCACTTCCAGGTTTGACGCAGTACAGTGCGGGGGAGGCGGTGTCCTCTGCAGCTAGGTCTACTTGCTGGCGACCTCACCATCACCAACCCATCTACAGGTATGCTAGCTCCTCTTCTATTAATGCAAAAAGGAGATGCTCAAATGGATTGAGTGGTGCCCTTCTGAAAGTATTGCATTGATGGACATATGGATTGATTGGTAGCCCCTTGAAAGCTACACAGATCTGAACCAATAATTTTAATAAGAATGTGTATCCCAGCTCCTTTTATAATCTTGAATCCTTCTCGGTCCTACTAAACTGTAACTCATGTTTCTTTTTGGAAACAATATTTTGGACATATACTAATTAAGCTAGCTACATGGGAACCTTTTGTTCTGGCCAGATTTGATGATTTCTCTCAATATACTGCTGGCGATGTAGTTGGCAATGATTAGGTGGGCAGTTCTTCGCATTGCATTCTGTATTTAAGTTTGGACAATTGGCTGCTAATTTATCATGTGAATATGTTCTCTCTCTGGAGACGAAGATAGCAAATATTTGTTATATTCTTATCCAATCAGCTCACACCATTGTTGTGATCAACAAAAGATTCAGAACTTCCAAGCTCCGTTTTTTCTTGCTAGCTATGAAGGTGATACTTTAGTAAAAGGTGCATACAGTACTAACATTTTTGCTATCTTTATGCTCCTCCATATGGATGGGAAGTTGGGAACTAAAAGGATGATGATATTATTCTACCTTTCAATATTTGGTGGTGCATATTTAAGAAAATCACTGCTAAGCATGTCATTTTCTAGAAAGGCGCTTGACTGGAATGTATATGTATATAGTTAATAAAATCATAGTGACGGATTTTTCAGTTCCTCTATTTAGATTAGAGGCGTCTGCATGCATATTAACCAAGTGATCAGTCTTTCCAACTCAAAAGAGAAAGTGACCGATGTTTTGGCATATTTTCCTATTAGGAATAAAATGGATATGCCCATGTGCATATGCACACAGATTTCAGGTTACAGTGTAATTAGGAAACAGATGATACCTCATTGTGTAGTCTTGGTGTGAGAAGAGTGGATATACTTGGTGAATATATATGTTCCACCCGACCATTAATTTCAGAGAAAAGGACATGCACTTCAGTAGCAAAAATTTGATTGTTATGTACTATCTGTAATGCTAAGCATTTATTTGCTAATATCTCCTCATCTGAATTTGTATTTTGGTCATTTGGCCTTTTGACTATATGGGCATCTGCAGATGGTCTGAAAAGCAAGATATGCTAGAGATAATAACTATACTTGCTGCTCCAGATGGACTAAGAATGGAACCATATCCTAGGCCTACATGCTAATATTGTACACCAATGAATGCTTCACTTATTTATACTTAATCATTTGTGTAATAATAAGCGCGATATTAGCTTCTGTACCCATCTTAATGGTTAAAATACTTTTCTTCAATATGTGACACATTTGCTTCTGTTTCCACATGTCTTGCTTCATGATATCAACATTGTTAATCGTTTATCTTTATCTTTCTTTCCCTTTACAGCCTACTTGAATGGATATGGTTCTTGAGAGGCCATTTCTTATGCATCAGTCCCTGAAGGTGGATGTTGCTTGTATGCTAAGCAAGGAAGAGGCATGCCCTACCTGGCAGCGACCACCTTCCACTCAAGGGATATAGCACTATCATTTAGCACACACTATTCCAGGAGAAACAATAATCATGAACAGAAACAGTAACCAACAATATCCCTACTGACCGGCGTGGCTCCACCAACGATCCATCAGCCCCTGGTACAGAAAGAGGTGATTCATCACTTGCTATACAATCTCTTTCTCTATTTCCTTCTGATTCATCCTTGCTTTCCAATCTCCTTCTCTATTTCCTTTCTCCTGACTGTAGTATCCTCTTCAATCTCAGATCCAGAAGCTCACGCATGGAGGACATGGACATTGGTATCGTCTGTGACGAGGGTTCCCCAGGATCAATAGCGTCAAGGACAGGAACGCCTGTGCCCAATGTAATATTCTAAAAACCTGTTATACTCCATTCATCATAGAGATAGCCTCCTGCTCCCCCTCTCTTACTCACGTACCTCCTCCTCCTGCCTCCTCCTGCCCCCCCTCTCTTACTCACGTTATTGGCCCCTAATTTGTGACTTTCCTACGTTATTGGCCCCTAATTTGTGATTTTCCTGAACATGACACCTTTTCTTCTCCGGATCTGCATTCCACCTGTAGTAATTGTGAGATTATATATGTATTCGTGTTCATTCTTAATTTAAACTAGACCTAGCTGTATATACTACAAAATTTGTTAAACATGCGCTGGGCAGGTTTCCATGATGAGTTCGTAGCCTTTATGAAGTTCTTGCTGATTGTTTTCTGTAATCATCGCTCATTTCTCGTCTCCATAGCACAAAATTTGATTCTTGCATCTAACCTTACCGGCGTGTTTACTGAACTTTGTATATATGAATTTCACCTCGTATTTTCTTCCTGGCTTGATAAGAACTGAACAATACAATTTGCTTTCTTGTGTCCAGTATTCCAGATTGAGTAATTCTAGAGATATGCGACCCGTAGACCGGTTTATGAAACTCTTTAGGTGTATTTTTCTTTCATGTACATAGCTGGAAATTGTTTGATATACATTTTATAAGGATAAACAAGGCATACTGTATGTAAGGCTTGATACTACCCCATTTCAAATAACTAAGGGAATCACTATTTCTCAAATGCAAGATATTGGTTTATTTTATTTCGTATGCCATGTTTTTTGTTTCAGTTCTTTGTTTTTTCAATCCATTTGCTTTCTTGAAATCTTCGTGATAACAGAGATTTGAGAAGGATCTGTCTCTATAGCTGTAGATGATAACTACATAATTATTTGTTCTTTCTATGTGAAATATTTGAAAACCAAATGCAAATCGTTGCAATATTTAGCCTTCAGTACTTATAATGCACAAATGTAAAATTATATTTTGCTATTATGTTCTTCTATTCTAGAATCATTTCCCTAATCTGCCTATTTTGATCATGAAATTAAGTCAATTTCTTCTACTATCTTCATGTGCTTGCGGATAGGATTCTGAAAGCTTATAAACTTATTTTCAAAGCTTGCCTAATAATTTTATCATATAAGTTGAAATTCAGTAAAACATTCCCACTTGACAGTGATCTATTGTTATTCCCTTAAATGTTGATCCAAGTGTCATAAATGGCACAAGATGCAGTTTTGATTAGATTTTGAGTGTGAAATTTATACTGTCTTGTGGTGATGCATGATGTTATTTATTTCATTAGAGAAAGATAAGTGTTAACCTATTAAGTTAATTTGGGTGACGGATTTAATGCTTATGTTAATTATTTGCAGTTTATTTACGGGAGAAAATAGTGGTAGTTTATTTATTGTCATTGGTTAAGACTGCTGCTATTAGATCTATATGGTTGCGGTATATCTTCAATTATTTGCTAAATTGAGGGATTAATGTTCCGCTATTAGGTTAATTAGGCTAGCAGCTTTTAGCACTTCTCATCTATTGGTTCAGCTATTATTTTCTGAGAAAAAAAATTTACCCTTGCTTTGTCCCTACAGGATAATGACTACCTGATAGTGATTCCTTATGCTCACATCTTTGGCCTCATGCTGCAAGCTCTAAAGCTTCCCCCTGCAACTTACCAACACAAAATATACCCAGGCGGAAAGAATCGTGTGACAGTGACTTTCATTTCTACTTTGGAATTGCTAGATGGTTCACTTGTCCCGAGTTCTATACCAGGTGCAATCTTAGATAGCTATGAAGATGCAGAAGACAGTGCTGCTATGGAGGCTATTAGATTCATGGAGAATGCATATGGCAAAGAAATGAGGGGCTACCACTACACCCATGTCAAGAGGCTAGAAAATCAAGTGACGCACCTGGTCAAATGGTTGACTTCATCCAATGAGACAATCAAGAAGCTGCGCAAAACATGCTACTACGCTGTCAGGTACATGAACTCATATTCTGCCCGGATAGAAAACACAACAGCTGCTCGCCACCTGAAAGGTCAGGACAACACCAAAGGAGTTATGAAAACAGCTCTTGCAAGCATCGAAGGACTGACGCAAAGGCTACGCTACATTGCTATGAAGTTTGAGCAGCGCCTTGAAGCAACCAGAAACAGTTTCTGGTAAACTTTGCTGAATGTATCCTGGATAGCGTGCTTCATCGGTTACCGCAACAACCACCTTTTGTTTCATATCTATCAGACCAGCATCTTTCCCATTTTGGACTACTCCCAACAAGATATGTATAGACTTTAGTCCTCCCTTGCTGCCTCTATGGTGAAAAGTAGTCTATGATGTAGTTTACGATCTTTAGATTTTATTGTTGTCTGTATAGTCAAGAGCGGTTTACCATCGCTTATTGTATATATGTGAAGGTCTCCTCTTCTACTGTTGTTTCACAACACTATGACCGAAGAAAACAACCTTTCCTTTTATCCATGCTTTCACACTAATGTTTGCATCAAACATTCCCTGTGATCATATCTGCAGCACTTACAAGCTCATATTAAGATTTCCCAATCGATCCTGTACACATTCAACCAATGTATATAAGCTATTCTTTTTGAACAATAATAGGTTAGAGCATACTCTCACACCGATTAGCTTACATTCGGCCTTTGCGCCATTGGCGCAACGGGTCATCTAGTGAGATGAAAGGAGAGGAGAGGAGATGGTATGCTTTAGGTTTGTGATGATCAGATGGAAGACCGAGACATTATTTATAGGCTAGTAGTAGTTGATTAACCATCAAGTAGTTTGAATTGTGCAGCATGTGATATTGACTTCACGTTACATGCTCATCTCGAGAGGATAACTCACGATATACAGTTGACGTGGAGAGGATCGTTCCGATCGGATCCCATTAGCTCCGGCTTCTGCCGTCCTCATTTGAATTTTAGCTAACAGCACACCTTTTTTGACGTTCTCTTCTTTTTCGTTGAACCCAGGCCGTACTGCATGCGTTCATACAAGTATATTGTACCGGCAAAATATAATGCATGCGTTTCACTTTTCACACATTCACACGAGCCAATATATAGTGGCCCAATCCGTTTGAGAGCAAGGAAAACAAAATGGCCTGGTTATATGGGAAATTTGATCAAAGAGCACAACACGGCATGGTTGATTAAGGGGCAACTATAACAGAAAAAAGAAACATAAAAGAAAGGACATGCCCACAACCCGGAGATGAGCAAGCAAGCTCTTTGATGACGCCTTCAAGAAGGAAAACAACACCCTTGGGCGTCGTCGCGGCCGGCGTAGACCCTCGCTGACGATTTAAGTTTCGCCCGGACACCTACCAAACAGTAAAACTAGCTAAAGTAGTTTTACAAGTACAGAGATGTTGAATTGGCCGTATATTGACTTTCAAAATGGTTGCAAAATAATTTAAGCAGCGACAGTTCCAGTCATACAAGCAAGAGGTTGAATTATCCACATTTTGATTTTCTAGAGGATCATCGAGATCTTACCCGCCAGTGATGGTCTACATGCTGCTAGAAACTTGAACAAGACTCAAGTAACAAACACGATAGTTGATGAACTGTTTGGCTAATCGATCGATAAGCTTGTGATAAAAAAATTGCAATGCGAAAAAGGAACCTTCTTCAGCTACGATGATTATGCTAACCGATTCGAGCAAGCAGCATATGTAAATGTCCCTTTGAGCAATCAAACACATACCCCTCGGTGTTTCCAATCTGGAACTGATGGTGGCTGCTGATACAATGGAAGAGTGATTGTACACTACTAGGGAAAACTTTATACACAGCAACTCACCAGTAGCGCTTTTTAAAAAGCGATGCTGCTAATTAGCAGTAGTGCTTGAACAGAAAGAGCGTTGGTACGATACACATAGCAATAGCGCGGTAGTTAAAAAAAAGCTACTACTATAATTGTCAGACAGTTGCCGGCAAGCTAGGCATACTATTAGCGCTCATACGTAAAAAGCGCTACTGTTATTGTATTTAACAATAGTGCTTTCCTCCAACCAGTGCTATTGCTAAATTCAGTCCCCTCCTAAGACCCAAGTTTAGTCCCACCTCGCTCCGCGAACAGAATGTTTACCACCTTAAATATGGTGCTTCTCAAACTATCACAACCAATTGATCTTCATTGTACTCTACGTGTAGGATCTGTGGCAATATGAATCTTCGCCGGTTCCTAAACCGGTGAAGATTCATACTGACAATTTAGATTCTACACAAAAAGATCATTGATGACCAATGCTTTTTTATGCTTTTTTTTACATGCTTAGCCTTAGTAGTAGCGCTGGTTCTCTTCCCTTAACGCGCTAGTGCTATGGAGCTTAGTAGTAGCGCTGGTTACCAACCAGCGCTACTACTACGGGCACCATATCCACACCTTGCATCCTCACTCTCCCCTCACACTCTCACTCGCTCTCTCTCCGCCGCGCGCTGTCACCGCCGTCACCCACCGTCGCCCCCAAGGTATCTGCCTCCCTCCCTCCTCCTCTCGCCGCCCTCCTCTCTCCTTCCTCCGGCGGCCCTCCTCTCTCCTCCCTCCTCCCTGCCGGCGCCCGATGCTCTCCTCCCACCTCCTTCGACTGCCATGCTCCCTCCTCCCTCCTCCCACTGCCCTCCTCTCTCCTCCCTCCCCCAGCCGCTCGAAGCCCTCACTCCTCCCTCCTCCTCCTCCTCCTCCTCCTCCCACCTCTCTCTGTATAAAAATTTAGGTATAGAATTTTTTAGTAAAAGAATTTAGTAGTAGAAATTTTTAGGTACAAAAATGTATTAGAATGCTATATGAGATTTTTTTACTAAATGTAGGTTTTTTGAATAGAATTGAAAAAAATAAGTAAATGTAAGTCTTTTGTTTTGGTGTTAGACACAAGGTTTCAAACTCTAAGTTATGTGAAATTAGGGCATTTTTCTATGATTCAAGAAGTAGGTAGTAGTTAAAAAAACCAGGGCATTTTTCTAGGGTTTATAAGGATATATAGATAGATGGATGGATGGAAAGATGTTAGGGCTAACACTAGGGTATTTTTAGTAAATGTATAGGTCTTTTCAATTTTTAGGGTTAGAACAAGGTATTTTTAGTAAATGATAGGGCTAGAACTAGGATGTTTTAGACATAGGATTTCACTAAGTCCTAAGATGAGGATAATAATGTTTCTGTTTATATTTTATTTTTGCAAAAATCAAGGAGCCCCTGCATCATCCCTGCCGTCGTCCCCATCACCGACCACCTCCGACCTTGAGGTGAGACCAGCCAAATCCCCATGTCGATGATGATGTACATGTTTTGATAGTTGTAGTAGAGTAGTAGCTACATGAGTGGCCTATGTTTGCAGTGAACACCTCACAATGGCCTATGTTTTGCCGGAGTGTTGATTAATTTCCATTCCAGCAAATTTTAGGCGCTCGATATATGTCCCTTTTAGCAAAGGTCATGCCGGATTTTTCCGTGAATTTTGGCATGACTTGTGCTAGAATATGTAGGAAATATCGAGTGGCCTGGATTTTGTAGAAAGAAAATTAGACGACATTTTGGGTTGACTTTAAGTCTGTCGGGGCTCCATAAATGATAGTCAACAAATGAGTGAGGGAGAAAGTCTGCACCATATATGAGAGAAGAAGAATCCCGAATGTTGTCGTGGGGGTCGTTTCTCCTTCTTCCTAGACTAGTCCTGGCCATGGGAAGCCCTGCCCGACGCTGCTCCTGGGCCGGGCTCGGGCCTAGATTTTGAGCCCGATGGCCGGACTGGGCTAGGGCCCGTCAATTTTGCGCTTTTGCGAAGGGGCCCGGCTCGAGGCCCGTCGGGCTTTTACGCATTTGGGCCGGGCTTGGGCACAAAAAATAGGCCCGATGGTCAGGCCGGACCGGGCCCGGGCCTAGGTTTTTTGCCTCAGGCTTGGCTAGGCCGGCCCGAGGTTTGGCCGGGTATATGCTAGACCTTTGTTATGCACTAGGGGAAGGAGGAGTAATGACCATCACTGACAGTCGAAAAATCAGTGAGGGAGTGTCCACCCTATATGAGAGAGAATGAAGAATCCCAACTGTTGTCGTGGGGTCATTTCTCCTTCTTCTCCTTGTGCTAGACCTTTGTTATGTACTAGGGGAGGGAGGAGTAACGACCATCACCGACGGTCAAAAAATTAGTGAGGGAGTGTCCACCATATATGAGAGAGACGAAGAATCCTGGCTGTTGTCGTGGGGGTCGTTTCTCCTTCTTCTCCTTGTGCTAGACCTTTGTTATGCACTAGGGGAAGGAGGAGTAACGACCATCACCGATGGTCGAAAAATCAGTGCGGGAGTGTCCACCATATACACCACATGAGATGAGATGACAGTTTTCAAGAAAACACTCGACAGACCAACAGTCAACCCGTGATGAATAATAATGATCTAATTTAATTTTTCTAGTACATATATTGATTTTTACAAGTTTAATCTTTGAATTATGGACATAGGAAATGTCTAACGATGACGATAGGATCCCAGAGTGCGACTGTTGCGGCGACGACCAGGATCCGTGCGACATGCCTCACCTGGTAGACGGTCGTCGCTTCAGTGTTAAGCTCGATGAGACCTTCTATTGGGGAACGTAGTAATTTCAAAAAAATTCCTACGCACACGCAAGATCATGGTGATGCATAGCAACGAGAGGGGAGAGTGTTGTCCATGTACCCTCGTAGACCGAAAGCGGAAGCGTTAGCACAACGTGGTTGATGTAGTCGTACGTCTTCACGATCCGACTGATCAAGTACCGAACGCACGGCACCTCCGAGTTCAGCACACGTTCAGCCCGATGACATCCCTCGAACTCCGATCCAGCCGAATGTTGAGGGAGAGTTTCGTCAGCACGACGGCGTGGTGATGATGATGATGTTCTACCGACGCAGGGCTTCGCCTAAGCACCGCTACAGTATTATTGAGGTGGACTATGGTGAAGGGGGGCACCGCACACGGGTAAAAGATCAAACGATCAATTGTTGTGTCCCTAGGGTGCCCCCTGCCCCCGTATATAAAGGAGTAAGGGGGGTGCGGCCGGCCAGGAGAGGGGGCGCGCCAGGAGGAGTCCTACTCCCATCGGGAGTAGGCCTCCCTCCCTTTTCCTAGTTGGATTAGGACTTGGGGGGAAGAGGTGGAGGAGAAGAGGG